AGGAAAGAGCTGTTGCATTTCTGTGATTAGAATATCTCTGATCATATCTGCCATATCTGATGCGAAGACTACAGACTACTGGCTGGAAACAGACAAGGTCAGAACACTAGAAAATACAGAGCTGCAGTAATGCACCTATTCTGTATATTGGAAATTCTGCCCTGTTTCTGTATTAGGAATGACAATTGCTCCCATTGTGGAGACTTGAAGGAATAACTTGCCCTTAAGGGAAGCAATTGGAAAATAGCACAGGTAGAACACAAATCCAATAGAACTATTGGCAGGTAGAAAGGAAAGGGGCAGCAGGATGTGTAAATGTTTAACCATCTTGACCTAACAGTGTGGGTAAATGTTTATCTGTGTTAAGCTTTAACTAATTATTTGAAAACTAGACTGCAAATAGAGCTACTGCAGTGAAAAACAACGCCTTGACATATTTGCAAACATCAAATAGGAAACTAAATCATGTTGTTTTCGTGATCAAGCTTCTAGGATCTTTCTGGGCTTCAGGTTTTCCAGTGCATCTGTGCACACATATCAAGAGTGGAAGGGGTAGGAGCAGTGGTGGGATTCAGCCAGTTCGCAGCACTTTGGCAGAACCGGTAGCCAATTTTTTGTTGCCCAGGCCCAGAATGGACTTCCGGAAGCGGCATCCACACAGAGAACTGGTTGTTCACATAATGGAATCCCACCACTGGGTAGGGGTTATGATCCCACAGGTATTTTTCAAAATTAAAATGTAATTTGTTTAATTTTCACTGGGCTTAGGTAAATCTCCAGCTGGTGATGAGGAAGATGCAGAAGGAGAGGAGTTGGAATTGAGAAAAAGAAGGGGGAGGAAGCAATTTCTGCATGCGGATAGTTAGTGGTTGGGTGAGAAATCCTTAGTAAATTGTGCACGGAGCTGTAGTTTTGTCTCAAAATGCAGACTTGATGTGCAGAAAGTCCCACATTCTTTTTCCAGTGAAAGGAAGTATCAGAGTTGAAAATATCAGAAAGCAGCTGTCAGCTAGCCAGTTGTTGATAAGCTGCTTTAGCATAAGCTATGTTTTTAGTTTTGGGGAGAACTTACAGATAGTGGTATAGCACATGTTTTGCCTGCAGACAATCGCAAAATGAGTCAGAAAGGTTTTTCCTAAAGAATCTGCTTCTAAGAAGAGACTATATAGCAGTGGTGGCGAACCTATGGCATGGGTGCCAGAGGCGGCACTCAGAGCCTTCTCTGTGGGCACGTGCACCATCGCCCCACTCCTAGGCCTTCAGCTGGGTTTTATAAAACCTTTTCGCTTTAGGCCTCCGCCGCCATGTGCAAAAAAAAAAGGTTCAATCAATCAGTCAATTTCAACTTCTCGCGGGGAAAAAAAATCTTGCAAAGTTGGAATTGATTGATTGATCTTTTTAGTCCCACCCAGTCTGCCGTTACCACTGCAGCCACGCCCACCCAATGGGCCACACCCACCCAATGGGGCCACACCCGCCCGGCACCCGACGATGCATAAGTGGGTTTTGGGTTACAGTTTGGGCACTCGGTCTCTAAAAGGTTCGCCATCACTGCTATATAGTAACACAACTGAGCTTGCACAATACTCTTCCTTCCTTCCTTCCTTCCCTCCCTCTCTCCCCCCTCCCTCCCTCCCTCCCTCCCTCCCTCTTTCTTTCTTTCTTTCTTTCTTTTTCTTTCTTTCTTTTTCTCTCCTCTCTAATTAACCACTGGAAGTCAGAAAAGCTGGTCTACTGCACATTACCCAAATTCAACTGTTTTATACCAATCAGTGGTCTGCCCAGCTCTTTTCTGATTCTCTGCAGTTTTCTAGAGTATCAAGGAAAAATCATTTCTGTTCTACTACCTGAGGTCCTTCTAAACTAGAAACTCAACTTACAGAAGTAACTAAAATACAAATATAATTAAATTTCAATTTAATTTGAAAAATAAGTTAACACCCCCACATCCACATATTTTGTAAAAGCCAATGTGAGTGTACTGGTTACGGTGATGGACTAGAAATAGCAAGGCCCAGGTTTTAATTCTGAGTCACGAATACTGACTTGCTGACTTTGGGACAGTTACTCTTTCTCAGCTCTAGATTCTGAAGTCAAAAAGCATCTGCCCATCAACCCACCCTGGATAAGAATGATAGATCATAGTCTATAAACTTCAGCGAAGAGGCTTCATCCTATAGTAAATTGATATAGCTATCTACATTTATTTGTCACATATCTACATATCTACCTTTTAATTAACGTTTATCTGCTTTATTTGGGTGTCATTTTTTTTAAAAAAAAGAATGTTTGGGCACTTCTACAGATTTTACAAACTTCTAATCTGCTGCAATATCTTTGAAACACTTTCCAAGCCATTCTGAAAATTCCGATTGAAAGATGGGATATACATCCTTCAGATTAATTAGCATTAAATTAACAAAACAGATAACTTTTCTCTCCTCCATTCCAGAGACTGCGTTGAGGAAAAAAATACATTTAAAAAATACATTATGTAGTTACCGAAACAAAACGCAGGATTCGGCAAATGTTCTAAATAAAAACTTAGAGCAAAACATCTTTTTTTTTTTTAAAGGCAAGATGGTGCTTTATACATGCCCAGGCAAGAACTTTGGCAAACCTCTAGCGTGGGGTGGTTCCAGAATGAAGAAACAGCTAATGAAAATACTTCCATTCTTTTGATTGACAGGGTTTCAGAGCAGTGGTGGGATTCAGCCGGTTCGTACCAGTTCGGCAGAACCTGTAGCTAATTTTTTGTTGCCCAGGCCCAGAATGGACTTCCGGAAGCGGCATCCACACAGAGAACCGGTTGTTCACATATTTGAATCCCACCACTGTTTCAAAGGAGACCATAATGCATTTACTATAACCAAAGACACCCCAAGTTAGTGACTGTATGATTGCAGAAGCAGACAGAATGAAGTATCACGGAAAAGAAAGAGAGTGAGTTTAAAGTTTGACGGAGGTTTCTCTTGGATCTGGGTGAGCTTATCGACTATCAGCACAGAGTAATGCTTTGAGGATTCCTAGGGACAGGAGCTAATTGCTTGTTAACACTTCGATAATGCCCTGGAATGATGATTTGTTGGCAGCGTCTTCTGTGAGAAATTAATAATTAGGTCCTCTTTGAAGGATTAGGACGGGAAATTGGGGAGAGGGAAGTCCAAGCTCACCTCACCAGGACATTTGTCTTACAGAGTAGAAGACAAAGAAGAAGGTCCATGTCTAACCATCCTTGTGGTTCTTAACTGGAGCCGAACAATCAGTGATGAGCACAGATTGAGTCCTGCTGATCCTCTCCTCAACTAAGGTCCTTCTCACACATACTGTCTAAGACAGGGGTCTTCAAACTTGGCCTTTTTATGACTTGTGGACTTCAACTCCCAGAATTCCATGCCTGGCTAAGGAATTCTGGGAGTTGAAGTCCACAAGTCATAAAAGGGCCAAGTTTGAAGACCCCTGGTCTAAGACCTGCCCACCATCTAAGAATTGCAATGCATATACAGCTACACACTGCTATACTGTCAGCACAATGACTCGATTCAAATACACATCTCAGCTGCTGGGGACTCTATGCAGTTCAGTTTCTGGGAACACAGCCACAGAGGAGAATCCTACAGGGTGGACAATAGGAGTTTGGAAATTAACAGAGAGGGACCTCTTTTCAAATCAGTTGAAACCAGCTTTATATGGCAGCTTTCTTTTGTCAGAGAGAAGCTCTCTTTGCAGGAACACTTTCCTACAACCGAGCTACAATCAGTTGTAATTTACACTTAGGAAGCAGCTATGTGAGCCCAGGAAAAAAAAAAGATGCTGCTTTGACTCAAAAAGTGAGGCTCTGCAGGCACTTCGTCTATGCAACAAATTGCTTTCAGGAGATTTGCATAGTCCTTGTGGATAATGGATCTCTATAGAAAGATATACAAGCATCCCAGCAAGACTCCCTGCTACACACAAGTCCATGCACCTTTCATAATAACAATAGCCTTTTGCTACTAAATAAGAATAAAATACCACTGCGCTTTCTATAAATCCATTAACTGGCTTGCAAATAGGCAGGTTTCCCCCCCCCCACATCCCCTCCTGAACTTTCCACCTGCTGTTCATTTTTATTTAGCAAGGAAAAGCCCACTACACACCTACAGTTAGTGTATTTCAGTAATAAAAGAAAATACCTTTCCACCTTCATTGCTGTATTTTAATTTCTTGCATAAACCAGCCAAGGGCAGCTCCCAGGGAGCTGAAGTGGGGCTTTTCAGTGGCTGCTGCTGACTCAACATCAAAGAGTCATCCAAAAATAGTTTCCTTTCCTATCCAGGCAAAACCATGCAAGGCAGCCGAATTGGACTACAGCCGAACATTGCTCCGTCCAGCCCCGGGGACCGCAGAACCCAGCATGCAGACCCACACGCTCATCAGCAGTTGTGGCTCTGAACTTTTTGTTAAAACCCACATGCATCGGTAGATGTACCCTTTTAAAGCCAGGACCCCCCAATATTAGATGCAGATGCTTGTCCGCCGCATACCAGGGTTCAAATCGCACCGTCTGGTCTTCCACTTGTCGCCTGGATTAGTTGCTTTCTCCTTCTCCCTCTTCAATCTACATAGCTGTAATATACAGCAACAGGTGTTGGATCCTTTCCGAAGAAAACATCAGCCAATCAAGGAGACGCTGCTGCTCTTTCTTTCGTATAAGACAAGGAGGCTGTTTTGCCCTGTGGGGATAATGACAGAAGGCAGAAATAATTATGCACAAGGCAGGGCCAATGCTTCTTAATGGCGACAGTCTCAGGAATAATAGAATAACAGACTTATATATTATGAATGGGTAGTTTTGGTTAGACTTGGACTATTATGTGATTATTCCTGTATTCAGTTCTGGGAAGTCCGGGGGGGAGGGAGAAGGGGATTAGGGGATAGAAATATATAAAAATTGACGTATTTATATATTATAGATAAATAATGGAATTGTATTAAAAAGAGGAGATGCTCGGCTGGTACCCCAAACTGCATTCGATGAGGTGGTTAAGAAGGGAGATGGGATGTAGGGAGGTGGAAAGGAGGAAAGAGGAGAGGTTGTGGGTTTAGGGGGAGGAAGGAAGAGGAAAGTGAATGAGGGTGGATGCAGGGCGGGGACTGCCGAGCATCTCCGAAAATGTATTGAGTAGGATTATCTTTTTTTTTGTTTTAAGTAAATGCATCATATTTGTTTTATTCGTTGTTTAATTTGAAAAATTAATAAAAAAAATTATTAAAAAAAAAAAGAATAACAGACTTGGAAGGGACCTTGGAGGATGTCTAGTCCAACCCCCTGCTCGGGCAGAAAACCCTACACAGGTAGTCCTCGACTTACGACCACAACTGAACCCAAAACCTCTGTTGCTAAGTGAGCCATTTGTTAAGTGAGTTTTATCCCATGTTATGACTTTGCTTGCCATCGTTGTTAAGTGAATCGATGCAGCTCTTAAGTTAGTAGCATAGTTGTTAAGTGAATCTGGCTTCCCCCATTGACTTTGCTTGTTAGAAAGTTGCAAAAGGTGATCACATGACACCAAAACACTGCAACCGTCATAAATACGAGTCAGTTGCCAAGCGTCTGAATTTTGATCACGTGACCGTGGGGATGCTGTAATAGTCATTAAGTGTGAAAAGTGATCGTAAGTCACATTTTTCATTGCTGTTGTAACTTTGAACGGTCACTACATGAATTGTCGTAAGTTGAGGACTATTTATACCAGTGGTTCTCAACCTGTGGGTCGGGACCCCATTTGGGGTCGATCGACCATTTCATGGGGGTCGCCAAGCAAGGCTGTCTGCCATTTTTTTTGTCCGCCATTTTTTTCCCCCTTTTCCGGCGGGTGCCTTACCTCCCTTGGGCTGGGCCAGCTGGTGGTCGGCCTGCTCCGTCTCTGCCGCTTGCCAGCTATGCCTCGGCCGGCGCAGGGGGCGGAACCACGCATGCGCAGCGCTCCCGGGCAGGGAAAGTCCTCGACTTACGACCGGTTGGGTAGTCTTTGACTTACGACCGGTTTAGTCCTCGACTTACGACCGGTTTAGTCCTCGACTTACGACCGGTTGGGGTCACGGCATTAAAAAGGTTGAGAACCACTGATTTATACCCTTTCAGACAAACGGTTGTTCAAGGATTCGCTTCTGAATTACAGTCACAACATTCAAAAGGGGAAAAGTGTATTTATTTTTTATTGCTGTATTTTTACTCTCAGGGAAGGAGGAAGGGGCACTGGCAAAAATTTTTAGCTGTCTCCATAGTGATGAAAGCTAAAATCGAAAAAAAAAATATTTTGATCTAAGTAAAGCAGGTGAATCCAAGGCACTGTGGCTTATAAACCATGTTTTCTTTAAAAACAACTTATTAAAACTCAGAGATATCCAGAGGCTGGTTTCAAAATGATCTTCTGGACGTAAATAGCAACATCCTACCCAAAGTGAAATGGCTTCTTGTTAGTTAGTCCAAGGAAGAGGAAAAAGGATCTCTTAGAAGGGACTTATTCTGAAGAGAACAAACAGACCACTAGTATTCAGGCTAAACCTATCATGTCTTTGATAGTGATGTGAATTGGTGAGTAATGGGTATGCTTATTGTAGGGCAGTTTACCTGCCTGCTGAGAAGGTTATGGATATTTGACACTGGTAGGACCAGTGTCCTACCAGTCACCATCACTACTAATATGAAGCAAAGTAGTTGTAGGATTTTGAAAGATGGAGAAGGATTGCTGGAGAGAGACTGCTAAACTTCTACACCAGGGGTCTTCAAACTTGGCCCTTTTATGACTTGTGGACTTCAACTCCCAGAATTCCTCAGCCAGCGTGGCTGGCTGAGGAATTCTGGGAGTTGAAGTCCACAAGTCATAAAAGGGCCAAGTTTGAAGACCCCTGTTCTACGCTTTCTAAAAGTTCCACACTTTCTAAACCATGACGCAGAAAACGCCGTCTCAGCCACTGAGTCCAACTCCCTGCCCTGCGTTGGGAGTCCATATTAAAGCATCCATGACAAAAGGCTGTTTGAACATATCCCCTTCTGGGCAAGCGGCTCCAGTGCCAAACTGCTTTTGCTGTTAGGAAGTTCTTCAAATGGAATTTACTCCCGTTTTATACTGTGTTCTGTACCCTGCATGGCAGAGAAGGGCTCATACATTTCATTAGGACATCTCATGGATATTTAAAGCATGCTATCAGGTTCCCCCTCAGTTTCTCCTTCTCAGGGCTGAGCATTCCCAGCAATGTTGATCTCTTCTCACAGGACATGTCTTGGGGTCCATGATCATGCTTCTTGCGCTTCTACGAACCTGTTCTGGTTTGATCACACCTTCTGAAATTGTGGAGCCCAGAATTTGATGCAGCCTTTGAGAAAGAATCTGACCAGACCAGAATAGAGCAGAACTATTTGTCCCCAATATTTGGAAATGATGTATTTTTGCTGAAGTACCCTGAAAATGTTAATAAAGGAAAATATTTGTAGCTCAGGGTTGACACGAGGGGTCCTTGGTGCTCTCTAAGCTTTCTTGCTTTCTTGCAGACGTTTCATTACCCAAACTAGGTAACATCATCAGTGCTAGCACTAGCACTAATGCTGATGGTGTTACCTAGTTTGGGTAATGAAACGTCTGCAAGAAAACAAGCAAGTTCAGAGAGCACCAAGGACCCTTCATCCTGAAAATATGTTTGACTTGTTGAGATTCTTTTCATAAATGCTGTTGTTGAACAAAGTAAGAGTTCAACTTACACGCATAAAAGCCACACCAGCCTAGAAACCAGAAGACTGTGAGTTCCAGTTGTGCTTTAGGCCTGAAAACTGGCTAGGTGATTTTGTGCCAATCACCAGAAGACTGTGAGTTCTAGTCCTGCCTCAGGCATGAAACCTGGCTAGGTGATTTAGGGTTAGTGGGCCTCTAACACTCAAGATCAGAACGGAGTCCGTCCTTTCGACCGATCCACTAAAACGGTTAGTGGACCTCTAACACTCAAGATCAGGACGGAGTCCATACTTTTGACCGATCCACTAAAACGGTTAGTGGTCCTCTAAAACAGTTCTAGTCCTGCCTCAGGCAGGAAAGCTGGCTAGGTGATTTTGCCAACCACCCAGAGATTGTGAGTTCTAGTCCTGCCTCAGGCAGGAAAGCTGGCTAGGTGATTTTGCCAATCACCCGGAGATTGTGAGTTCTAGTCCTGCCTCAGGCAGAAAAGCTGGCTAGGTGATTTAGCCAATCACCTGGAGATTGTGAGTTCTAGTCCTGCCTCAGGCATGAAAGCTAGCTGGGCCAGTCTCTCTCTCAATCAACCCACCTCACAAGGTGGCTGTTGTGGAAAAACTAGGAAGAAGAAGCAGTATTATGTATGTTTGTCACTTTATTTATAAAAACAATAAAGGTGGAATAAAAATCTAATACATAAATAAAAATAATAAGTATCATTTGCAAGAAGCCTGAATGCAGCTTCACAGCACATCAAAATCACATTATGGGCATCTGATGTGCGAAGGGCTAAATATTTCCAGGTAATTTTATGGACAGAAATGAGATTGGTTTTACTTTTGTGAGTCCTTACTCTCCCACCCTTCTCTTAAAATTTCCCCAAAGTTGATTATCAGGCCAAAAAATGTGACCGGTGCCTTTCACAATAATGTCACAGCATCATCAGATAGCTTCCTCTGGCCCTTCAGAAAGTTAAAAGACTGGGTTGTAGCTTCCAACAGATCAAATATACTTGGCAATGGGAAAGTAAGGCTTGGGAGAGATCTTTTCTCTACTAACCACAAATTGGTATTTTCCTATGACTTTGAGCAGTTCTAGAAAGAATTATTTGCGGTTACTTTAATCAACATTTGCCAGCTGAAATGCATTCAGACTTATAGAAGTCATTGCCAAAGTTCTGGATCTCTTTGGGAACCCTTGTAATATTTAAAATAACTGGAAAAGATTTTGACTACAGCCTTGCCCTTTTAATTTAATGATCGTATAGCGCCCCCTACTGGCCAGACTATGTCACTGGATTTTCAAGTACATTCCACAGGATCTACAAATTGTTTGTCTAAAGCAGGGGTCCCCAACCTTGGCCACTTTAAGACCTGTGGACTTCAACTCCCAGAATTCCCCAGCCAGCCTGGCTGGGGAATTCTGGGAGTTGAAATCCACAGGTCTTAAAGTGGCCAAGGTTGGGGACCCCTGGTCTAAAGGTAGCATCCGGATAACAAATATTAAGCAAAAAAGATCAGCCTTCTTGACTGTGACGAGAATCATATTTACCGCAGTTAATTCTAAATT